CCCTATTTGCTTTTGCTTTCTTTTTTTTTACCTTTAATTAACGTCAAAAAACTTGCCTGGTGTGGAGCGATGGTTAAGATCGATAATTCTCAGGGACTTTTCTCTGGCAGATAGCTTCAGGGACTTGTGTGCAGATTGAAAATTACTGTTGCTTGTTGTTAGTTCAACACTAACAAACGAAAGAACCGAGCCCAAAAACACAAGTATACATACATATATACATACATACACACATAACAAGCATACATTACATGCATACATACATATATACATATATCTTCCGTTGTATAAATTTCGCAGTTTTCAGATGGATTTAAAATATGAGATAATAAAACGACACATTTCCATGGTAAAAAAAAAGTAAAAAATTGATACATTTTCTCACCAAAAAAAAACCAAAGGCGAGGAAAAATCTCCTTCCATTGACAAGTGTAAAAAAAAAGAAATGTAAAAAACTTATGAGGATTTAACGTGCGGGAAACTGAGTTGCTAACGAAAAATTCCATCCAAAATTACTAAAAATCCATGCTTATTGTCTTACATGAAATCCATATGGTTTCGTTGCGTACAAGCAATTCATGTTTCTTTTTCTTCATGAACATTTCATTCAGACTTCACCAAAATTTCAGGCAATCACTGGGACGTATATTGATAAGAAGTGTCCATTCACCGGTAACGTATCCATCCGTGGTCGTATTTTAACTGGTGTTGTTGTGAAGATGAAGATGCAGCGGACAATTGTCATTCGACGTGATTACTTGCATTTCGTCAAAAAATATCGCCGATATGAGAAACGCCATCGCAATATGTCTGTGCATTGCTCACCAGCTTTCAGGTTGATTTTTTCTTTTTTCAAGATAAAATAGGGTTTTCTAACGTTTCATTTTGAATATCCATTCTGTAAAACAATAGAAAGTTACAGTAAGAAGGAATGAGATAAAGAAAGGAATGAAAAAAAGTAAGAAATAAAAACTAAAAAACCAGAAAATCTGTAAGTTTATTATAATGGTAGGAAGTATGTAAATGTGTAAATAGTTTTCCATTATGTAAA